GGAGGCAGTGAGTAGAAAGCATAAAATAAGCTTATACACAGATGATACTGTTTTATATATTTCTGACCCTAAAACAACTTTAGAGAAATTAGAAACACTCTTGAGAGATTTCAATAAAATATCCAGCTTATACATTAAATCAAGATAAGACAGAATTATACCCAATTCATCTAGATAGTGAGACTGATGTATACCTTAAAGATACTTTCCACTTCAAGTGGATAATGGATTGCTGGAGATATCTTGGTGTCCAAATCCCCCTGGACTTGTAAAATTTATTAAAATGTAATTTTCACCTGTTGTTACAAACAGTAAGAATACAAATAAAACATTGGGGAAAAGCTTAATCTATTTTGGCTAGATAAAGTACATTTAGTAAAACATTTTTTATTTCCGACATTTTTGTGTTTATTTAGAACTCTCCCAATATTTATACCCACTAATAAAATAAAATCATGGCAACTATTACTCAATAAATTTATTTGGAGCAACCAAAGACCCTGAAGAGAATTTAAAATTTTGTGACAGCCCTCATATAATGGATACCTGATCTAGAGACATACTACGAAGCATCTAATTTGTTTAATGTAGTAAAGCTTCTTACCAATAGTACAATACAATCTTGGGTAGAGACTGAACAAAGCTACATTCAACCCTTAACAATCCCAGAGACAATGTGGATTAAACCTCAGTACCGACCATCACAAACTCAAAATAATAATTTTTTAACCATTACCCTCCAAATATGGGACAGAAGATGAGGTCTTTTGGCCACAAATATATCATTATTATCTACTTTTATTAACCAACATTGGTTCCCTCAGCACAAAATAATCCACTATATAATAACTGGGCAAATGCTGGAATTTCACATATCATAGATTTAATTGAGAAAGGGAAACATTAATAAAACAAGACTGGAACAAAAACTGAAATTACCTATACAGTGGTTTCAAATAAACAGTTTGTTCTCTACCCCTCAGCTAGTTAAGTCATTAAAAAGAAAGCACACACATTGGATATGTAACGCATATGATTGGAATGACTATGTTTTGGTGAAACTGAAAATAAATTTATTAAAAAAAAGAAAAGAAAGCACACACAATTTGGACTCCTCTTAAAAAACAGCACACAAGGTCTTAGAGGACTCCTTTCAAAGGTATATAAAATTTTACTTGATGTTACCTCAGAAGTCTTGCTATACTACCAAAGGCACTGGTTGGAAGATTGTAACATTGACATTTCAACAGAACAATGGAAGAAAATGTGGACTTCATTTATGTGCACTTGAATGTCATAACAATTAGATTACAATAATTGAAATTAATCACAAGACACAAAACTAAGCTTAATAAACAGTTTGAATAATCCTCTATGTTGGAAATGTTCAGAACATGTCGGATCTTACCTACACTGCTGGTGGGTCTGTACTGCTTTAACCTTGTTCTGGGAGATGATCATTGTTAAAATCAAAATTATCACTGGTTGCGAAATTCCACTTACTCCAGGGTCAGTATTACTAAATATTTGGCCTGATTCCCAATTTGGAAAGGAAAAGAGAAAATTAATTGCCACACTATTAACAAATGCTAAATTAACAATTGGATCAATTTGGAAAAGCAAATTGAAACCATCAGTACTAACCTGCAACCTAAAAATTTGGGAACGTATAATAATGGCAAAAAATTACTGAGAGTATACAGTTAATAGACCCAATCAAGAGCTCAACCCAACTCTGGAATATGTGGATACCTGTTGTGTTTTATTTGTCGAAGAATGATATTATTCCTCCAAAACTTGTATATGAAGAGATACTGTATTTGTAGTGTATAGCAAGATAACTTTTATTACCTTTTTTATCGCCTTTTGTTCACCCATAAATATTCAGTAATAATAAAAAAAAAGAAATTGAGGAGGCAGTGAGTAGAAAGCAGAATTATTACTTTAAATGTTGCAGTGTACACATTTCAAACTCTAAATGAGCATCTCAGAAGATCTGGACAAATTTGTAGACTGTTTCATAGTATTCAGTGGAGGAAGACTTATGGAGCCTTAGGTTAAATATGTTTATTGAAACATAAGCTTCCCGTAGCCAAAGGCTTGATGATCATTAATCAAATGCACGAAGTGAAACCAAGTCCCCCCAGGGGGCGGGGAAACCCCTGACCCAGAGGCCCGTTCCCCGGCGCCGTCGGATCGGGCCCCAGGGGGAACGTCACCCCAACGTGCGCGTCACCCGGAAGTGACGCGGGCACACCGGGCACGCTGGGGGCGGGGCCACGGCGATACAAGGGAAAACTCTATGGCACAAGACGCCGGCCGGGAGCCCCCCGCTCCCGGCAAAGATAGACTTGGCAACCCTAGTGCAGTTAGATGGCCACATCAAAGATGGAGCAAAGGAGGGGGAAGTATGATGTAATAAACAGTTGTTTTATTCAGATATACTGCCCCTATATATATACATCTGAATAGAATAACTCTTTTTTCCACTGCACCATTTTCCCCCTTTGCTGGGTGTGTAAAAAGTATATACAACCTCTTATATCACGTTTGTCTGTCTTACACAGAATAATCTGCAGACTGAGTTCACTTCATGCATGTGACGAGTCAGTCTCTAGGCCATGAAGCTTCTTGTTTATTCTGTAGCAGACTAACGAGACTACTCCACTGAATTCTGTGCAGGATGAATACTTGTATTCACACGTTTCTGAACACAGTTTCCCACTGAAGGCAACGCCCTGAGGGCGTTAAGGTTCTTTGACTTGTATGTCTAGCCAATAAACCACACAGTGAAACAAACAATCCAGGCAGCAAAAACAGGTAGAAAAAAAGTTTTTTTCAAATAAGGGACAACATGCAGCCAAAAATTCAGCTCAGATGTCCAGTGAGTAACAGCAGGGATCTGGATTATATGCTTTGTTGCTCTTTCCAATTTTACATCACTGTTGGCATCATTTACACATGCGTACTTTGATTTTCTTTGTTTTTAAGAATCATTAATTAAACATTTGACTAACAAGATGTTACTTGGCTGCATTACAACCTATGATACAGGTGCCTGTCTTTTTAAAAGTGATATGTGCATCCTCTTGACCATTCTCCCAGACTTGTTCACCTTTGAATGAACTTTACAGGCTAGGTTTAAAATCTTACTTTTCCCATTATAATAAGGTCCCTCTACATTAATGCATGTATATATGTGTATAAAAGCACTTTTAATATAGTTTTGTAAGCTTATTTCTACTAAAGATACACAAAATATAAAAAATATAAGATTATATTGATATTCTAAAGAATTAAACCCTTTATATACATTTCCTAATGTTCCAAAGTGGTCTATAACATAAAGTTTTTATAGATATCTTGAATTCACCTATTATCCTTCATTTTAATCCATCAGAGGATTTTTGTTATTTTTATAAAGATATTAAATCTGAATTAAAGTTTTTGGTTTTGTAAAATATGCTATTTTACTTTGGCCAGTAGGGGTCCTTCTGGTATAACATAAGTTCTGCATTTTAATTAGCCCTTTTAATTGACAGATGCCCATGATTAATATCTCCTACATTAACCTTTTGGAAATATTTGGCCATTTCCCAACCTTTGCTTGTTAGCAGTTTGCTAGTCTTAAGCAAAGTTCTTTATTAGTGAACAAAGAGTTTAGCTAGCTTTCTTTTCACTGTGTTTCCTGCCAGTTTAGCTTATTAAGTATGTGGCTATTTCTTTATGCAAGCAGTCTATTTGCTTTAAAACAATGAGCTGCTGAAAATAACTCAATATTAGTATGTTAAAGCATTTTAAACTTAAAGAAAAAGAGTTTAACTTGAGTTTCCTTATTTTAAATTACTAAAAATCATTGTCATTGTGAACTTTTAAACATGTTCCTTTGAAGCAGAAAATCTAATCATAGATCTTAACTCTGATAGTTCGCTAACCACGGTGGTTTGTACCATCTTCATTAATAGTACATTGATGTTTTCTAGTGCTGGGACACTGGTTCATTAAGAAATTCCTTCTCTGTTAATTAAATAAGATTTAAAACAGGTGTTTCTATAATTCTGCTTAGTTATTATTGGGTTACCAATCTGTTTCTGGAATCCCAAAGTCTTTCCCCAAAGACTTCTGAAATACCAGCAATAATCCATAGATTATCATTTGAACCTCTGAGCTTCTTCTATACTACTGTACTTGAATAAGGGCTTCTTTAATTTGTTGTTCTTCAGTCTGGTATGAATTAGCAATACTAGTTTCTAGAACTCATGGTTCCTAACAAAACGGTATGGTTAGGTTTGCTTGATGTTCATTATTTTTAAAGTAGTCCCTTAACCCAGATCAGAGTATAATAAATGACTCTTATTTCAGACTCTGGGCCTTCTAATTTTGTTTGTGAAAGTTTGGTTTAACAACTCCTGTCTGTTTCTACTTTCATGATCAGATGAGTCATAAATGGAAACCTCTGATGAGAACTCTACAAATATACATACTTGGGGCTCCCAGTGGTCTCCCATGCAGACTAATGATCAAGTCCACACCTGCTTAGATTTAGCAACACTGACTTATGGCTCCTTAAAGGCTAATTAATTTTGTTGTGGCATAAGCTTTCATGACCCATATCCCACTTCTTCAAAGTGTTATGTTTAGTAGGCATTAGTCAATTTACCCTCCTTACTAGAATGGGGTGCACAATTCAGAACTCCTCACTCATCCAATCATCTACTGATAGATTCAGGCTGTGATAATCAGTTTTACTCCTAGTAGACAGGGAACCCCTGGAAAAACTTCATTTTCAATTCAGCATACTATGAAAGCTTTTCTCTGTTTGAAGACAACTCACTTAACTTTGGGAACATGTAGCTGCTGACAGTCTTTAACCTATGTCCTTCAGAAATCTAGAAATTTTGTTAATTACTTGATTCTGTACATAGGTTGTGGCTTAAGAAATATTGTGACAAGACTCCTTAGAACAAAAATGTAACTGGCATCGTTCTCTCCAAAGAAATTTGAGGAATTGCTCAATCTGTTCAGGATTTTGTGAGCAAATCTAGCCTGCTGTGATTGACAGATAGCTCTTCGCTTCCAGTTACTTGCTAGGAGGGGAAGAGCTATGAAAAGGTGTTGTAACTTTTCTTTAATAAATAAGAGGTTTTCTGTGGACAAAGATAATTTTATCTAATAGTAATGTAGAATGTTCACTTGTGCTTAAATATTGCACTGTATGTCTACCTTTTTTGATGACATTTTTGGTTTATCTGCCCTTCCTCCCTCCCGTCAACCCTGAATCCAATTTTAGGTCAGCAGAATTTTGTATAGCTTCTCAACAGCATTCAAACGTTCTTCCAAACAAGCCTCAGATCATGTAAAGGATACTATTTTCCCAACTCCAGACAGTGATGTATTCATTTTCAATGTTTCTTTGGAAGTCAGAGAAGATGATGGTAAAGGAAACTTCAGGTAATGTATTTATTTACATTTTTTTAATCCCGCCCTTCCTCTAGGAAAGTTAGGTGGAGTATGTACATTCCTCACAGCAACCCTGTGATGTGAATAAGGGTGAGAGAATGTTAGGATGAGGAACAACTGGTCAAAGGTCACCAGCAAGCCTCATGGCAGAGTGAGGATTTGTACCTGGGACTCTGAGATGCCAGTCTGACACTCTAAGTACTATGCTATGCTGGCTCCCTCTTGTAAATGGAAGGAGTGAACAACAGTACTATTATCAGTAATGCAGCTAGTTAAAACTGTGCACTTACACTTATTTTGCTAGGTTTTTTCCCAAGAAAGTGCTCAGAGCAGCATATATTACATTCTCAGTCAGTCTCCCTTCAGTTTTTATGTTCAGACTGTTCTCCAGGTTCCAATTTAATTGTTATGTGTTCAGCAGCATACGACAAAAAAAAAACAATAAGGTATTTGATCTACTATCGTAAAATCCATTTTCATCTTTCATTTCTTCTGCGAAAACCTTACAAATTAGTGTCGAGCCAGCTTTTTAATTCTGTTTGAACCCCATTTCTTTGTGGTACAGTCATTGCTTAGTTTTATAAACAGAATATTCTTCTGGGAACTGGTATACCTGCAAGATCTAGGCTTTTGATATTTGTGTTCAGGGTTTTTTTTCTGAAGCAGATGGACTTTAATTTCCTTCAGTCGTTTTCGTGATTTCCTTGTTTACATGTGTTCTTATGGGATTGCATTCTTACGATACTTTTTTCCCTTTAGCCCAGTGCCAAAGGATAGGGAGAAATTGTTCTTCAAACTAAAGCAAGGACTTGAGAAGAAAGTTGTGATCACTGTGCAGCAGATGTCCAACAAAGAATTAGCCATTGAAAGGTAATGATGAAAACTGAATGGAAATATGAAAGGGCTTTATATTAATACTAGAAATAATGCCCGTTGCAGAAATAAATACAACGGGATCTAGAAAGAGGCTCTGGGAGAGTGCTCTGGCTTTGGGCAAACAGTGTCAGTTTCCTGTGGCGACCTCAGCAGGGTTTAATGACAGAGTCCACTGTTTTCTCCAGAGGGACTGATCTCTGCTACCTGAAGAGCATTTGTATGTTTGAGTTATCTGTAGCCCTCACCTGGAGAGTGGTAACCATTGTTACCCATTCTCCTCTCCCCTATGAGGTATGTTATGCAACTGAAAATCCCAACTGCCTTGCGGGGGGGGGGAGTTTGAGGTGTGGAATGGAGTGAAGTCCAATCAGCTTCCATATGCAAAAGACCAGGTTGTCGCAGCAGTTGTGGTGTGGGCGGGACCCGGGCTTTGCCTTCTGATTGGTGGCGATATATGCTGAGGAGCAGTGCCATCAGCCATACACTAAGGGAGTGCATTTTAGAATTAGAACTTTGGCACCCACTATTCAATTATATATAAGGAGAGATATTCAATGCTCTCTAAGTATCCATAGCAGAGCAAAACTAACAGGACTGTGAGTGAATAAATCTCCCTTTCTCACATCCTTGGGAATTCTGGATTGGGAAACTTGTTAATTATCTAATCTCTTAGATTTTTGTGTCACTGCTATGCTAGTTGGGTTCATCCTACAAAAATGTTGGACAGGCTAGGTCCCAATTTGCCAGTTCCCTGGCTTGTTTACAAGTTACTCCAAATAGCAGCTGACCATCCAGTTCTGACTACACTGTTTCTTTAAGATGCTGTGCAGACACATACAGGGAAGTCTTCAAAGGAAATGCTTGGATTGGGGTGCTAGTAGTTCTTGAGAATAAGGGAACTGAATGGGAGAGGTGGATGTGTGTAGATCTGAAGTAGCCCGAGGGCTGAAGATGCAGGAGATGGTCTGGCAGAAGAAAAAGGGACACTTCCGACCAGTGGTGTCGAACTCATTTGCAAGGATGGAAAATGGTCTGTAAAATCAGTAAAAGTCAGTTTTTTCATCTTGGTCAGTAATCTGTCAGTTTTTTTAAAAAAATTGGTCAGTAAAGTCCGTATTTCTTTGATTTTTGTTACTGCATTTTTGTGGAAACATGATGACTTCCCAGTGAGAAGACAGATTGTTTTCAGTTTAGTTATGAAGTACTTTAAGGACTTTGTTCCTAAGAGTAAAAGTTATTTGGTGAAATCTTACACAAAGTATAGAAACACAATTAACCCCTTAAAACATGAGATAATGAAAGTAGAGGTGATGGATATTGTGGGATTCAACATGGCACAGCTCATGCTAGAAGGAGTCGAGAAAGCAATGGAAGAAGAGGACAAGGGGAAAAAATGCTTGTGGATGCAGTGCAGAAAACTGTTGAGAAATGAAAGAGTTCGTGAATAACTTTATTTTTTTATTTATTCAATTTATACCCCGCCCTCCCCCCGGAGCGGGCTCAGGGCAGCTTACAAAGAGATTAAACATATAGGTAACAAATTATATACAATCTTAAAACAAATAATAAAACTCTACATTATCATAAAGTGCTATTAAGTGATCAGGTACTTATAAGAATGCTTAGAGAAGGCAGAACCAATACTAGTGTTGTAATCAGATGATCTATATTGGTGGTTGGCTCGTCTTGGTCTCTATATTTAGGCCACAGCACATGCTGTTGGTGGTAAGCCAAGGACCAGGGCACTGTCACTTCTCAGTTATTTGATTTGAATGCGGCTCCTTAGTCGAAGTCCTGGTGGAAGATCAGATTGAGCGTGTGTCCGGCCCAGTGAGTGGGAGTTGTTACATATTGGGAGATGACACTAGGTCCACAGATGACACTAGGCCACCACAGATGACACTAGGTCCATCGCCTGAGTGGAGGCCACATCGTCCGTATCTGTATGGACATTGAAATCACGCAGGACAATCGGTCTAGGGTGTTCCGGTGCCCAGCCCGACACGGCCTCCACCAGGGATGGCAGGCTGCTGGCCGGTTCTTTTTTCATCAAAAAACCAAAGTACAAGCAAAGACAAGTCTTACCTTACAGTAATTATGTTTTGTTGTCATCATTATTACTTTATGTTTGGTTTTTAATATGTTTTTGCTGTTCTGCTGTTTTATTATTTGCAGTTGTGTGATTATTTTTAAAAGGGAATCTTTTTTTGCCTTAAGTTTTGTTCAATAATGAAAACATTGTCCTCTATTCATAAAAAATTCAATAAAAAGGTGTGCAATCCAGTTTTAGTCATGCAGGAGGGAGGGAGGCTGATACCTCTTATTAGAGAATAACTGCCCCCAAATTACATAGTGAGCTTCATAGCAATAGTCAGTCAAACATTTAGCTGTTTAGAAAGTTCTTTTGCTGTGACTCATCTTGTGTGCACTTAGAATGCCATCCTTGAATGTGTAGCTATGATTAGTAAGATGCAAGTAAACGAACATAATTGTATAATGTGCTGTGGGGAAATTGAGGGCTTGACGCAAAATTCTGCATGGGCCTTTATTCTGTTAATAATAGGTAGTAAGTTAACACTGGGAGCGTTAATTTTTCTCAAATGTTGTCCTCTCCATTTTGTTTCAAAATGTTGGATGAGGACTAGGATCCTAGGTTTAAATTCCTGCTCAGAGTGACACTCACTGGATGATCATAGGCTAATTCTTTCAGCATAACCTACCTCACAGGGTTCTTGAGAAGATTTTTTAATTCCTTTTGATGGATTTAGCCAAAAAAAATTGAATTATGAATGGGTCAAGGCAAGCATGCATGTCAGTATAATCCAACAAGTTCCACATTTCTTCCAACCAGCGGAGGACCAAAGGCAGGGCGGTAGGAGCAGTCCTCCTTGGGTTCAGGCCTTGGGGGTGCCTAGAAGCCTGATCTGTGTATCAGTTTAAATGAGCCTGGAAACCTCCCCAGAAACTCCCATCTCTCAGCTAAAAATGCTAGACCCGCCCAAGGCTGAGCCAAGCCCCCTCTGTCGATGCCTGGGTCCTTTTTCGCACATGGCTAGCCATGAGGAGGAGTGTTATCTCTCTGTCTGTATGGAGAGATCAGAGGCCCGTAGCTACACAGTGAATCATGGCAAATTGGGACTGGCTTCAGCAGGCCATGGGTGGGCAAAGGGAATGAGGCTGCCGCTAAGCCTCTCCCATAGCCTGGCCTGATCAGGCCAAGCTAAGGAACTGGGCTTTGGCCCCTCTCTTTCTCCTGCTCAGAGTGACACTCACTGGATGATCATAGGCTAATTCTTTCAGCATAACCTACCTCACAGGGTTCTTGAGAAGATTTTTTAATTCCTTTTGATGGATTTAGCCAAAAAAAATTGAATTATGAATGGGTCAAGGCAAGCATGCATGTCAGTATAATCCAACAAGTTCCACATTTCTTCCAACCAGCGGAGGACCAAAGGCAGGGCGGTAGGAGCAGTCCTCCTTGGGTTCAGGCCTTGGGGGTGCCTAGAAGCCTGATCTGTGTATCAGTTTAAATGAGCCTGGAAACCTCCCCAGAAACTCCCATCTCTCAGCTAAAAATGCTAGACCCGCCCAAGGCTGAGCCAAGCCCCCTCTGTCGATGCCTGGGTCCTTTTTCGCACATGGCTAGCCATGAGGAGGAGTGTTATCTCTCTGTCTGTATGGAGAGATCAGAGGCCCGTAGCTACACAGTGAATCATGGCAAATTGGGACTGGCTTCAGCAGGCCATGGGTGGGCAAAGGGAATGAGGCTGCCGCTAAGCCTCTCCCATAGCCTGGCCTGATCAGGCCAAGCTAAGGAACTGGGCTTTGGCCCCTCTCTTTCACAGGACCCTTCAGGTGATCTGGGCAGCTGTTCAAAGGAGGGAGAGAGGGCAGCAGCTGATCTACAGCGTGAGCCATCATCAACTCAATAGCTGAGCATTAAGTCAGCTGAAACGGCCTTATGCAAACTGAATCAGGCTGCGAAGGAAGAATTGTCTTTACAGATGCTCTACGCTGCAGTGGTGAGGGTTTGTTTATAGCTCGAGATAGAAGGAGGAACTCAAAAGCCCTGCTTGATTCAGGATGCTTGTCCGAGGCTAGGCTGTGGTCCATCTAAAACAGGCTTACTTGGGAAGTAATTGACCTGGAAACCAACTGAGACTCGGTTCCAAGAATCTATCATTAGAATCGGGTGCATGCGAGACTGTAGGGATCTTTCCAACTATCCTGCTGTGTAAAAGGAGATGGAGATATTGATTGGGAATGGCCTGTGTCAGAACCCACAGCCAACAACGAAGTACACGCATTCAGGAACGGTAATACTTTTATTGCAGAGCTATAGATGCAGTAACACAAGCACTGTTAAGAATGGCGGCGGCCCTTTGGGCATAATAGGATATAGGGTATTTGTATGCACCCCCCCGTAGCACTGACAAATTAGGCACCCTCCCGCGTGCGGGATGAAGCTTGGAAACCGTTGGGTAACTCAAGTTGAGAACCAACACTCTCCCACGGCACCTAGGAAAAACCCAGACGATACAATTCCCTCCTGCACATCTTTAGAGATGAGCGTTGGGGCTCGCAGCTGAGAAAGCACAGAAAGGAATGCGGTAGCAATTAACCAGACACAGACCAACCTCCCCAACCGCCATGGCAGCGTAGCTGACACCCTGGTGCTTTCCTTTGATATCCTGAACATGGCAGGTGACGGAGAAACTCAATACTGAGGTCTTTCAGGGTTGCCAACTGAAAAAAAAAGTCCTGTCCCTTTAATAGAGGTTTACTGGGATGTTATTTACCAGGTGATGTTGTTTACCTCCAGGGAAAAAATTTGGCTGCCCATTTCCACACATTAAGCTTTTGTTAAAGGGGCAGGGTAATTTTTTTGTGAGCAGCTGTGAGCCCACCCCCAAAGTGGGGAATTTTGTTTTATCTGCCATATTTGTTTTAACTTTTGAAATAGGCTTTGAAGAGGGCTTGATTTTCATCTAAAT